AACACGACCAACGGACGGAAAGCATCTATATTCCGAAACCTGATGAAAAAGTTCAACCCCAGTAACTATTAATGATCCATTAGGCTTTTGTGTCTCAAAAGTAATGCTTCTGTTAGGTTCAGCCAAATCGGTTAATTGCGTAAAAATTGAACAAGCTTTTTGTTTCAGCTTCTCATCAGAGCAATGCATTTATTTTTATTTCCAGGGCAATACATGTCAGAAGATACAACCCTGTCCGTTGACGAACTTATTTACTGTTGATTGTTACCGCTTATTCTCACAGCAGCTGGAATGTTTGTTGTTATTTTTAGTTAAATAAAATTGATATATACATGGTTTGTTTTGATAAGTGTCCGATACTTTACAGGGCGATTCTTCAGGCAAAGCCTTACTTATGCAGCCACAGGGTCTTAAAAAATTATTCTAATTGTTTATGTAATATCAATATTTGGACGAAACGTAGTTTTGAACACGAAAAATTTAAATTTCTTCTATGCGCGCTACCTACTTTTCTCTCTTCAGAACACAGAACTTTTTCGTGCATGGTTGTATCCAAATTTTCAGCTCGAAAATTTCTCTATTATCTCTACGTAAAAAAGGTATTCTTATCAAAAATCTCCACGAACAACTGTTTAGAGGTGTGGATCAATTCCGGTTAAATGTTGGGTATTAGTTAATTACCCATATGGCGTCGTAATCCGTGAGCTGTTTCATTGCAAAAATGAAATATATTTAAACAATTGCTTACCTTAATCACTCCCGAATCGAAAGGATGGCCGAGTTATGCTCTTTTAGACTCATGTTAACAGAAAAAAAAGTTTTCAGTCCATTTGAAAACACTTAAATTATGCCTATTTTGTTGGCAACATCCAGAGCATCATAGTSACTGGTCAACCTAACATAGGCCTTCTTCTTTCCATCAGGCCTGATTAATGTGTTGACTTTAGCCACTGACGCGGTAAAATACCACATCCAAGCGGYAGTGAAGAAACTGTATGTATGTATAATTCTGAATTCTCTTCATGGCGGCTTCAGTAGTGAGCGGRAATTTAATGATATTAAAAGCATCCATGCGAGGCCTGTTTGATCCTTTCTTAACCCAAATTCATGCTATCAAAAAAGTCACTGCTTTTTAGAAGCCRMTGWATTCGTAGTTTTGTTTGCTTTTTCACAGTACTGGAGGAACTTGCGGTGACAAAGCAATCGTGAAGAACAGTTTTTTATGCATAAGAAAATTGTCAATTCGAATCTTTGAGGGGCTTCCGAAAATATCCCTGGCCAAACTCGACAACAAGGAAAGACGAATGAAAAAAGTTTTAGACTTAATTTATTTTATTATCATTCCATTTCTATATCCTGGAAGGGTACAACATCTGAAACAAAGAGAAGTCGCTGATATAAAAGGAAACAACAAACGATCGAATCTAGTGTACACTTTAAAGACAGGGCTACCATGGAGGTTCACCCCACATACACTATCTAATCAAATACTTGCAGAGAGCACAAATCAACTTACAATTCGGATCCTTTTGCCGATAAAGTTTCCGGGCAAATTCCTAACGAACTTCGCTCGCAAAGCGCCGCTAGTTCCATGGGGGCGAGTGATTTTGCCCCAAATGGCGCGCTTGTGCGACTTGACCGACTTGGGCTTGCCAGGTACACAAGTCTTGTTTTTGGCGGAATAAATGGCGACGCACTTCTTGCCCACATAGAACCAGCTGTCTTCCTTCGTGCTGGCCCCACCGACTTTAAGAAGCGCGGTGTTCTCGTGTTGGTTGCGGAGACCGCGCTTGTAGCCTGCAATTCATTGACAAAATTATACGGGGAAACTTGAAACAGTTCGAAATATTCTAACAGAAGCCCTTCCAAATGCTCGATTAGTTGTAGCAAAGATTAACTAACCTGTAAATACAGCGGTGGCGTACAATCGGCCGTACCTTTTGGTGGGTCTTCTGACGGATTGCACTTTTTTCGTCAGCGCAGCGACGGCCTTTGCCACTTTGGGGGCCTCCACTTTCCGTAAGTTTGTCATGTCTGAAAAACATTCAAAGATCAATCACCGAACATCCGCAAAGTCAATGGAGTTTTCAAAGTTTTGCCAATTGGACGTCATTCTTGGGGGTTTGAGCGTCCTTTTGAGGCGAAACTTTTCATCGATTATACACTAAAAAGTTGGGAAACTTTGCGTTGAAAACTACCTTTAGCTGGAAATATTCAAATCCAGTCCACGGCAACACAGATCGTAACCTAAAAAGAAACCAGACAGGAGCAGTTGCGCCTCGTTCAAAGTGTCGAAAACAACGTACGCAAACGCAAGCAATGTTGTCGGTTGTCGTTATGTCGCGCTTAAAGCAAGGAGGTTGTGGTTGCTCTGTTATGGGTACGGTCCACTGAACATAAAATGTATTTGTAAATAATTTAAAATTTAATGTGCTTCACCCCGGCGGATCGCAATTTAAATAATTTGTATTTTTCGTGCAATCGTAAAGAAATTGTGCTTCGAATGGTAAAAAACCTTTCCGCGGGCCCTAATGAGAGCGAAACCTTCAAACTTGCCAGAATTTCCTCAAAACTCCCGCTTTTCACTCACTGAACCTCTTTTCGGCTGAAACTTACAATGGAAAATTTAAAGGTTGAAAAGGTTTGGTCGCCGGGGAATATAAACAGGTA